CTATATATAAATATATATATATATATATATCACTAATGGTGCTAACTTTTAATGGTGCTTAAAATGAAACAGTAATTAAATGAATAAACTTAACTCTATTCTCTGTTACATTATAACATTAAAATTATTTAAATGCAATTTCTGGTCATGATTTTTTGATATAAAGAGAATATGGATGAAATATATATTTAGTGATCTAATAATATGTTTTTAATAGTTTAAAAAAATTATGTTCATTAAATTCTTATAAATAGAGTATTCCAAGAATGCTTGTATATTTGTAGAATTATTAAAATAAAATTGCACGGTTTGATTAACCACAATGGCATATATTGCACTAAATGTAGAAAATTTCATTTAAAATCTTTACATTACATCATACTTTAAAAATTAATTTTATGTTTGGGACTTAAATAAAGCATTCACTAATAGAAATGTGGACAGTTAAAAAGTAAAACATATTTATAGAAGACGATTCGAAGATTCTTTCACAATTTTTAGTGAACGAATTAGAAGAGAATTATTAAAACAATTAATTTTCGGGAGAGAAAATTAGAGATGAAAAAATTTTTGTATTAAAATTTAGTAAATAAAATTTGCAATTCTGCATTGATCTTCTCCATTAAAAATACTACCTTAATGAATTTAATTCATCATTTACTATCGCGTACTATTTATTTACATAAAATTTGAAATAGAAAAAAAAATTAAATTTAACAAAAGTAGCTTTCAGCGTAAAAAGAATTAATAGTTTTTTTTTCAGTTCCATCATAACTGGATGTTTTTTTGTTTAGAAGTTTCAAATTTCCGCAACTAAAATTTTTTTTCCTGTTACGCTTTGTTCTATTTGATTCATTTATATTATTTGAAAGAGGTAAGTTCTGTCTGGGAATTTACAACTGACTTCTATCGCTTTTTGAAAGGGTAACAAATAATCTTCATTATCAAAATATTTGAACCATATCCGTTTTCTCTCTCTCTTCGCATTTTTATACCCAAACTTTTAACAAATATTGCTTTTTTAAAAAATAAAAAAAAACAATGATACCCAAGTCAATATTTTTGATGGTTTTTCCATTGCATACCAACATTATCTTGATGGTAACTATCAATAATTCCATCATGAACTATTATATTTTTGATGGTAACCAACATAAGTAACCATCACCCCAATGTAGAAATTCGGACTGATTTAAAAAGATCCAACATTAGAATAGCAACTTGTTTTGATGATCTGTTCATGTTAAACCATCAGAAATTCCCATCATAGTTTCTTAGAAATCAAATGTTGGAACGATTATGAACCACCATCACCCCAATGTAGAAATTCGGACCGATTTTTGTTGGTTCAACATAAAAAAAAAACTCAAATAGTTTTGATGGCATATTCTTGAGAACCAGCAAGAATCTATATTATATAAAACGCTAATACGTACGTATGTATGTATCAATAAAACCGATGATATTTCTTTTCTCTCGCTGGCAACAGTTTTCATTTTTAATTGATTGGATTCGGCGCGCAAGAGCACGTAGTGAGCATCATATGTCTATCTATCTCCGATTGTCACCGAGAAAAAAACGGTTGGTTGGTTATGGGTACTGAAATAGTTCCTTTTCATTGGCAGAAATGAGAAGTGTTATGCTATTTTAGTTTGAATTATTTTGAATTGAGCGCTTTACTATTCCACGTTTTGTTATATTATTAGTTATGAGTTGAATGCAGTTTTAATATTTCATATTTATTTTAAGTTAAATTTCATGAATACTTCATAGAGCAGTTACTTTTCTCAACAACTGAAATTTAGAATAGTGTGATTAAGAAAAATATGTGAACTGTTTGCAATTTCAAATTAATATTGAAATGTACAGGCTTAGAATTTTCTACAGTGAAAAGTTTTCGGAACTTCAGTGTTCAAAAAAGTATACAAAAGCTAGACGTTAAGAACGTGTCCAATGAGCGAGTAAAGCGAGCATCGGATTGCGAAGCCATCCGAAATGAACTGCGACAGCAGTTCCGGGGGTTGGCGATCAGCAGCGAGCAGGGGGCGAAGCCTCCTAGTTCTCATTAAAACATCAAGGAAATGTATAGTTGGAACCATCATGGGCCATCACGAATCACCATGGATTGTGGGTCCATGAGAATCAAACTTCTATTGATGGTTAACCATCATATTATTATTCTCCATCATGGAATGAGGGAAGTTTATTGTCATATCAAAAAACATGAACGCATAATGGAAAATGTTGGATGGTGTTGACCATCATGAATCGCACTGAAATCAACGAAAACCATCGAAAAGTTTTGAAGGGACCATCAAGAGTTTTAACTTGGTTTTATTGAAATGTTGCAATACCACAAATTAAATGCCATCGATACATACCTTGGGTAATCATAAATAGAACTTTCATCTTCATTTAAATTAATACAAAAGAAGAAGAAAAAAAACTTCTTAATGACGAAAGTAACAAATAAATAAAAAATCATCATAATTCTATTTGTTACAAATAAAAAAAATAAATTCACAGCAAAATGAAAAAATTTATTGTGATAGCCTTGCGGCGATCACAGGTTGACCATTGGCAAAATGGTTGTTGTCTAATTTTTTTTGGAAACGAAACTTTATTGTGTTTTCATCTTGGACATCTTTAACTGTTAATCCTGAACTGCTCGGTACAAAATTTCGTAGACATATTTCAATGCAACTCAGACACATTCTGTGTGAATTCTTTTGATGACTGAATAGACATTGAACAGCCAATCGAAATCAATATTAACGTTTTCAGATTAGTACAATGGTGTTTGATGAACACTGTAAGCTGCATCATACACCCGTTTCGGATTCACGAGTTCATACTTGAAATATGATTTGAAAGTTAGGCTTTTTTTTCAATTTTACACGAATAGTGAATGAATCATTCATATTGCGTGGAAGACAGTCTACGGTCTTGTGCAAGTTATTGGGTACGTTGACAATGGATCCTTTTATCCCTACATATTGAACCCAGTTCTCGTATTTGCAAGAACGGGGTTCGGAGAGCCACCATTCGCTCTTCGGAAGGGTTCAATTCTCTCAACCACTTTGGTACTTTTGTGAGGAACGGAATCCTTTCGTTTTTCCGTTTGTGTGTAACGTTTAACTTAATGCATAACAAAATTAAAAGTGAAAAAAAAATAATGCTGAAAAATTATCAAACAGCTACAATCTGAACCAGCGATGTACCAATCTGAAAATGTTAATATTGATTTCGACTGGCTGTTCAATGTCGGTCCAGTCATCAAAAGAATTTACACAAAATGTGTCTGAGCTGCATGTCTGCGAAATTGTGTACCGAGCAATTGAGGTTTAACAGTTAAACATGAAAGCACAATAAAGTTTCTTTTCCAAAAAAAATTTAGACAGCAACCATTTGGTCAATAAGTAACCTGTGGTCGCCTTGTTGCGACCACAATTTTCTTCATTTTGTAGGGAATTATATTATTTAAAAGCTACATTCTTATCTACAATTAAACTCTTAGAAAGAAATTTCTTAATTTATTAACTTAATCATTGATTCTATGAATGAAACATTTATTATCAATGATAATATTGATACCAATGATTTATCTTAAATTTGTTTCAGGCTCACAAGCCATTAGAATTTGTAAAGTACGGGAAACCCTTATGAATGGTTAAACTAGGCATAAATTTAATCACAATAGTAGATCTTCCTAGAATACACTCGTAAGCATAACATAAGCGGAGGGATACGACGGTTTAAGGAAGCCTGTTTACATTCAGTCAACCATCCATTGATACAACATTTCTCAAGAAGTGAAAGAAATTTTACCTGACGTAGAGGGATCTTTTTTGGGAGGTTCGTAGACTTCCAGAGGTGTTCAACATCTGCTCCCTTAAATCATGAATCTTTGCTTCGAATCTGTTGTATTCTGAAAATTAATTTTTTTTTCCTTTATCTCATGCTAATTGAAAAATCAGTCTATTATAATTACATTGGTGTAAGATATTAAGATAATTTTCAGACTGGGTCGATTATCTCTAGAACTAACGGACCGATTTTAATGAAATTTGATACGTACATACATCGATACAATACAAAACGAATAACCATGCAATAATTGTAATACATACGTATGATCGTGAGTAACATTCGTTGGAGTTGGAAGGTATGAAATTGTCACAGGACAATTCAATCCAATTGCCACTGGAAATTATAAACTGCGTTTTTTCAAGTAGGAAATCAAGCTGCAAGTTAGGCATATCTGTAAGAGGGAACCATACCCCCTATTCACCCATTTTTTTGTTGTTTATTCTGCTACCACTGTTTCTTCCGACAGAAACGAGTGTTACGCACGATTATACGTATGTATTACAGTTGTCGAATGGTTATTTGCTTTGCATTGTATCGATGTATGTACACATCAAATATAATTAAAATCGGCCCGGTAGTTCTAGAGATAATCGATCCAATCTACAAATTCTCCTAATTTCTTACACCAGTGAAGTATTATGATAAATATTATTTATGTTATTTAATTATTAGCTGAATACCCGTTCTTCATACGTGGTTAACACAGAATCTGTAATACGCACTACGAAATTATGCAAAGAACTGAGAAACATAAAGCTAGATAATTATAAAACTAAAATATTTTTTTTTACTACCATTTGTTGCTTTTACATGATATGATTAATAAAAAAAACATTTCGATCAATTAAAAAACAAAGCTGTACTCAGTATCTCCAAAACATTTGAGTGGAGTTTCATATTACAACAATGAAATAATTTTCCTGATAAGTTTGCACTTTAGTTATTTCAAAGACAGGTGATATTTCATCATTTAGAAGCAGGTTTCAAAGAGGAAGGAAATAATCACGCCTTAGCTGACCTCATTATAGATTAAGTAAGTGATTAGTCATCAAGTAATCATTAAGTAAGTGATTACTTGTCCTCATTGAGTAAGTGATTACTTGTCTGCTGGAAATCCATCCATCAGTTATAGATGCAACCATTAGGAATGCGTTTCCATTGGGATAAAAATCGTCCAACAGGGAATAGTACAAACGAAAATGGATTGAATGACAGTGTAACACTGATCTAGTTCAGCCTCTATCCACCTTATTCTCGATCATGTTTCATGTTTTTTACGGTGGAGGCAGTATTTGTTGTTTCAACTTCCGATTTTTGCTGGTGTAAACTAAATTGCGTAAATCCTCACTTCAACGATTGGGTAATCGCACATCAATATAGGATAAAATACTTTATTTCATATCTTCATCTGATATTTTAAAATATAAAGAACACATTTTTTTTTAAAAAAAACACCTCCTAGAAATTCAATTTAGAACAACTGAGTATTCCGAGTATATACAAACAAACCCGGAACGTCCAAAAAAAAAGAAATAGTCACGTCAATGCTATGACGTCAGAAATGGACCTCAACACTTCCGGCTGTTTTCTTTTTTAGAATAGATGGTGAATATAGTTTTTGAGACGACTCATGACATCAAAAGTTCGTTTTGCTTGAATCAAAGCATAAACTAGAGTAAAGTATTATCATTATAGGTTTTATTATTTAAACATTTTGAATGCCACTAGTGCAAATGCTAGTAATATTTAATCCATTAAATTAATATTATAAGTACTGCCAGTTCATAAAACTTTCATTCTTGGAAATATTATCGTCTTTTTTGCAAATGATATTTGAAGTACGAGAGAAGAGAGTTTTCAATTTGCTTATTTTTTCTGACGAAGGGGAAACATTAGGCATTAATACCTCCTTGTTATCAAAGTCTTTTTTTAAAAAGCAAAGTACAAAAATATGTAAAAAAAAATTGCTTTAAATTTCCGAGAAGATATCTACAATAATTTTATTAGCATTTTAATTGAACAAATAATATTACAACTTAATAAAACAATTCATCCTTTATCTTTTAAAGGTTTAATGCTGCCAAATTATACTCCTTTATTAAAAGTCTAATAAGAACATCGAGAAAATAGTCACAGTCTGGAGGAAAAAAAAGATAGCTTAGTCAGTCTCCTTCGTCTTAATTTCGCGTATTTAAACTTTTATTTCTCATTGAACTCTTCTAATCATAATTATACGCCGATTATCTTACAATTCTATTTTTTTAAATCTTTAGTATCACAATATCCGGATGTGACGAAATAATTGAAATTAACATTCTGCCATTCTCCTTTATTTTTTGATCATTAGATTAAAAGTTATTGAGCTCTTAATATTTTTACTTGAATACTTATTCATTGAAGTGTTCAGAAATAATTAAATAGACTGATTTTCTTGTTTTAAACTTCTCATTAAACAAGCCTCTGATTTTATGTAATGAATTTTGTCTTATACACTAGGGAGCGCTGCAAGCTCTTGATTGCCTATATTTCCAGGCTACTGTTTTTAGTGTGTTTTGAAGCCATTTGGCTCAGAACGTGATCATTGTGTTTTTAGTTTCTGTAGAACAGTATTTCTTGTGTTTATTACCTGATTTGTGTTTGAAAGAAGAATCGTTATAGGAATCGTCGTTTGAAGACCTGTCATTTCAAGACGTAAGAATTGTCATTTGAAAAAAGAATCGTTATAAAACACTTGTTAACAATATACCGACTTCGAAATTTAAACCTAAATAATAATTTGTGAAATGAACTTAATCTGCTCGAACAATCTGCTAATTCTAACGCATGATATTGCACCAATAACAAACAGTAATAAAGTAAAAATAGATCAAATCAGAACTGCCAAGAAATAAGAAATATTTCTAAATCTAGCAACCATGCCACCTTTTTTAACAATACATCTCTAAATAACTAAAACAAAATTACTCACCAGTATTACTTAATATCATTAACATCTCATGAAATACAGAAGATTTGAGCGCAGAAAATTAGATAATTTATTTCTTTTTATTAAAAACAAAATCATTTGTTTGAAAATATCGCAGGTACTAAGCTGAAGTAAGCAACTGTATGCTTTCTAACCGGAAGTAGAGAAGGTCAAAAGCTCGTGATTGTTGTTGTTTACATTTATATAGAAATACTATTCAGATATTTTGCATGAACAAAAAAAAATAAATAAATCATTACTCATTCTTTTTTTCATTTATTCAGAAAAAAATTCTCATTTGTTTCCTAGAAAAAGAAGAAAAAAATTCTCATTTGTTTCCTAGAAAAAGAAGAAAAAAATTCTGAGGACCTGTCGGTAGCCGTAATGGCTGCATATTAAAATTAAGGGGGAAAAGCTCCCATCGAAAGCTGAAAAAGTATAAGGATAGTGGTGGTTCACTTCATCAAAACCTGTTTGGCTGCTGATTGAAGGTGCTTCCCGCTGCCACACTTCCAGAAATCAAACAAGTTTTGATGCTCTTTAATAACATCCAGAAATTAATTTTGTGTTTTGTTTCGTTTTCCTCACTTAAACATAACTTTTTGATACATTTTCTTTTAATTTTTTTAAGGAATCTAAAAATCTATAGAAAAAGAAAAAAACATTACAGAATAATATGTATATTTGGAGTTTTGAAATTTAATTTAAATACGAAGTGAATTACAAAGTTTCATTTACATACTATGAATTATAGAGTTTAACTTAAATACATCCTTTTTCAAAATTTTAGAAAAGTAGAAGTGAATGTAAATTAATAATAAAAAAGTTTTCACGGGTTGCAGTGACCTCTTTAGGGCCACGAACTACATGTGTCACATGCCTTGCATTATGATAAATTATTACATTATGATAAATTATTACATTATGATATTATTACATTATGATATTATTACAATGATATTATTACATGATATTATTATAATTATTATTACATTATGATAAATTAAAATTTTTTTCTCGATATTTTAGTGATAAAGAATCGATACTATCGGCGAGAAATATCAACAGGAAGTATCGATGCTGAATATCGAAAAAAAACCCTCCATACTTTAATAGTGTGCCTACTCCTTCAATCACCTCACAATAGATACAAAAATGCATTTGATAGAACAAAACGATATTCTTTCCCCCCATAGGGTTGCGGGGGGTGGGGACTTACCTGTCTCCAAAAGTGGGGCGGAAAGATGTTGAGCGGGCAGCCGGCCAACTGCATCTTTGTCGGCATAGGCGAAGAGGGAGGGGTACGGGTAAACAATTTGGGGAAAGGGGAGAAAGAGAACTTACTGCGGGGAGAAATAGGTAGCGACATCTGGCGGTGATAGGATGAACATTGATTGAGTAGGGATTTCTTACAGACTCTGCTCCTATTTCTCCCTTCTCTCCTATTAATATCAATGTCCCCCCCCCCCCCCGCATTTTAAAAAGAAAGTGAAGCAAAAAAATTTAGCAGTATTTAGTTGAAAATTTTATGTGAGGCAAACAAATAAAATATTTGAAACAAAGTTTGGAATTATAACAATAACGAACAAAATAAATAAGAGCATCGTCCTGGGAAATGGAGAAAAGAGTTCTGCTCAACAGGTTTTCGTTTTTTTTTTTCCCTAAAAAAAAGGTTAGGTTTTAACGAATGTTATAATCTGGGACAAAAAAAAACCTCCTATAATAATATAAGCTGCATAAAGCAATTAAAATATTTGTTACATTTTAAAATATCTGAAATTATTTTTAAAATCGTCGAAATTAATTATTTTTGTATATATCAGGAGCTATTTCTTTGCTTTAAAAAAAATTAAATAAATTCTATCCCAGTCACTTTTTTCTGCTAAAGCGATCAATTAACGTTTGATGATTTTCAACATTATGATATATTTTGATGAAGAGATAAACGCATCGAAAGTGTGTGTGAAAAATGCATTCCTAAAGTACATTTCAGTACTTAATGTGATTTGTTAGACTGTGTCGATTTTGTTTATCAACTGGAATTTTTTGAGCATCTTTCAAATCTTGTTTCTCTTTTCAATTTTTTGACCGAATAAGCTCTACTTCTGCCCCTAAATATTCATCTAATTTCTCTCACGAAGTTTGAACTGAATGAGATAATTCAACACTTTTAAGACTTTTACACTTTTTTTGGTGCAACCTGATTTTTTTTCTCTGTAGATTATTAGAATTTTGATAAATATTTGCATGTTGATATTTTTTGAGAACTTTTCAACCCCCACCCCTGTCAAATAATACAAGAAAGAATCCCACGAAAAAAAAAAGCTTTGTGATTGCAAAGTGAATAAAAATAATGATTGGAGAAATTAAAAATGATTTATTTTCATTAAATACTCATTTAAGTTATTATAGAACAAAAACAAAATATCAATTTATTATAAAACGATCGTTGCTTACTTAAAAAAAAATTTAATATTTTTTTAATAAGTCTGCCTAAACGGCAATGGGCGCTTTATACAATGGTCATGAAACATCAATCGATATACAATGTTCATGAAACATCAATCGATATACAATGGTCATGAAACATCAATCGATATACAATAGTCCTCAAACATCAATCGATATACAATGGTCATGAAACATCAATCGACATACAATGGTAATCAAATATCAATCGAGATGTAGAATAAATGTAGGTATTTTTCTAATCGTGGGTATTGAATAATCGTCTCGCCCTCTTACTTTTCGCCGGATGACCAGTCTAGGAGTTTTCCGACTGGAAAGAACAGGAAGATGGACACTTGGTTGTTCACTGTTGGAACTTTCTGTGGCACCAGTTGTGCTCAAAATTCTCATCCCGTCAGGTTCAGCTTCCAAAGCATCGTTCACTATACCCCCCCTTGAATGGTAACGTCTCCAGACGAGAAGTAATTTCACTCAACATTGTTCATAAATTCGGTTGATCCCTCTATAAAGTAACGGTGAAAATCGATGATGAGCCAGCTTTTATTGCCACGATGCCATTGGCCAACTTATCCAGATGATCGTTTGAAATGCCCGAAATCCGTTGGTCGATAAACTCTTCAAAATACAAAGATTTTAAACGATCTATGCACTAGCTTTGCACCGCATTTCCAACTAAACTCTTGATGGAAGCCGGTCACCGAATTGCATTCCAGAAATGAGATCTCATAAATGCTCTGCCTCCAAATTTGCATAGTGAGAATACGATCTTTTTTAAGTGAGTTGAAAGGAACATCTATCGGTGTATTAGGGTTCTAGCTGTCGCTTACTCCGGTAGCAAGGCAGTGACAACGTGCTCCAATTCAGTAGTCCCCATCATCACTCCAGCTACCGCAAATTGACTTTCCATTTGCCGGAACCATATATCAGGAGGGTTTGCACTCCGAAATGCGTACCACTTGCTGGCTGAGTCTCATCTTCAGAAGTCCCGGGTATCTCTCGAACTAGTTCAAATAGCAAATTGCTTTTTTACAGGCACGACAAAAGATGAATATACTTTAAAAGAACCACCAAACAGCAGAGAATCATAGAGAATGACAGCTTGAAGAGATTACGTTCACGTGTTCATTTTACCAACAGTAGAAATGCTGACATTGAACGCACATAACTCTTCAAACAACTCAACTTTAATAATGTTAACTTAAAATTGCAACAAAATGTATAAAAACATTTAGAGAATGGATAAATAGTAAAAAAATACTGAATTCAGATTTAACGCTTGCTGAGTTCAGTTGCATCCATGAACGAGGGACGTTTCTTCATCTGGCTGATGCCGAGATCCGATTGTCTAGCACATTCCTTCCGCTTACCCCTCTATCAATTCGTGCCTTACTGTATTCCAGCGAAACATCACCCGGCTCTCCCTGCATTCCTACGACCAGAGACGCATAACCCAGGGCTTCCTGCTTTCCTACGATCAGAGACGCATCACCCAGAGCTTCCTGCTCTCCTACGACCAGTGACGCATAACCCATAGCATCCAGCATTCCTACGAAAAGCGACGCATAACCCAGAGCTTCCTGCATTCCTACGACCAGTGACGCATAACCCATAGCATCCAGTATTCCTACGAAAAGCGACGCATAACCCAGAGCTTCCTGGATTCCTACGCGCTTTTGCATTCCTCCGTTTTATTTAACTTTTGCGGCTGGACCGTTACACTAACTATGCGTTCAACATTTTAGAATTCTTCTAATAACTAAGTTGAGACAATAAAAAAAGAATTGAAATAAAAACTGAAACAATCTGTATTAGATATAAAAGTTTTTTTTATTTATTAGTTAATAGAATAAGTATCTGGAAGTTTCTTGGTAGCAGTTATTTTTTGGGATGATTTCTGTCCACAAAAAAGCATCTCCCTTAAAATAAAATTTGAATCGATTAATAAATTACTTATGAATTTTGCAGGATTTTAGAATTTGAGCACATGAACTTTTAATATGAAATAATTTGCGTCTGTTAAACTATTTTTAACTTTTTAAAATACGAAGATTTTACACTGAAATCAAATTTATAATAATTATTTTAATTACACACAGAGTTGAAGGGCGAAACGCGAAAAATGTCCCGTTAAAAAATTTAGAGCATCTGGGAGAGATATTATAACGATAATGCACAATTGATTATTAATTTTTCTTTTAATTGTTGTAATTATGATATTTTAATTCAAAGTTCAAATAATTCGGCCGATATTGAAACCCGCATAAATTGGCCTATGCTGTGAAATGTAGGATTTTTTGTTCCTAAAGTATATTGATGACAGCACTTTCTTAGAATTTTTACTCATTGAATGTTTTTTTTAATTCTATTTTTCAAGATTTTCAAAAAGGGGGTCAGCACTTGATTTATTTTTAAAGTTTTCTTAATGATTCGGCAATTTATATTTTATTTTGATTTGGTTATTCTAACTGTAACTTTGTCTTTATTTATTTTTCTTATAAGTGTGGGCGTATCTTTATTATGTGTTACTCTATATACTTATGAATTGTGTTTGTTTGTCATTAATTTTTCTTTGCACTTACATTTAAATTTTTATAATTCCTTATTCTTATTTATATTTTCCATTGTGGGGACTCGGGGGCACTGTCAGTTTTTGGTCTCACCACTGACAACAGAAAGGCTCCTGTATGAGTTAGCTGGCAGTGTTCTGCTAGCACACATATCTTAAAATTTTTGTCGTTTTCTGTTAGAATTGTAATCTGATTTTCTATACTATAATACACATTCACAAGGTTTTTAATATAACTCTTGATATTTCTTATTTCTATTATTGAAGAAATTATAGAATGTTAAATGGCATTTTAAAAACATTGAAAAATGTATTTTTAAGAATATTGTAGGTACATTAAAAAAACGTTTTATTCTGACAAATATGTGAGTTAAGCGATCTTCTTTGGATGAAGATAATTTGAAAAAAAAAAACATCCTGATGTTTCGATAAACTCTGAAATGGACTTTTATAAATTCGGCTTAAAATGTCGCATAACATATCTTTCAATTATGATCAGCTATTATTCCTTTAATTACAAACTTACTTTACAATTCTTACCAGCACTATATACATATATCTTATACGATAGTCCCCTTTTAAACTAAGTTCGTAAGGTCCTTAAGAGACTGTATTTTATTGCGTTTATATTAACCACAACAATCTTTTTCAAAAACTCCAATTATCTGTTTACAACATCTTAAGGTTTGAAATTTTAATTTAAAAATAACTTAACGATTGCAATTAGATGCCACGGTTTCCTAAATATTTTAATGACCTCATAAAATAATAATGTTTGCTTTCCACGAGCACAAGATTGTGATCAAAATTATGAACAAGGCCCAAATGCAAAACAGTATTCTTAATGGTAAAATCTTCACGTGCCTTTTGGGCGTATAGGGCGTCAACACAGATTAAAACATCCTAAAATAAACATCACGAGAAGCTATTATAAATATTCGCGTTTAATTTCGATGTTTCACTTTTGCAATTGGGTATAATATGAAAAAAGCACAACTACTTCCACTTACTAGGAATAACATTTACCTTTTAGTTTAATTAATAAACTGAGTTTTAAATATGCTTACTAAATTCATAAACTTCGGTAAAACAACAATATAAATTATTTCCAAAGGAACTAGACTAATACAATTCCAACCTGGCGAGTAGCGACTTATAAACAAAACACTTCGTTTGATGCTTTTACTTGTTGCTAGAAATCAGGTTCGCAGAAAATGCTGTTTACTAGTTAAATTTAGTAGGAATAACACGATCTGTGACGTAGGCTATAGTATACCCAATTAGATTTTTCTTTTAAAATAATGTGTTCAGTCATAATTTTTAATAAATTTTGAATTTGACTTTTTAAAAGGGACGACGTTTAAGGATTTCCAATAGACATGACACGCTTCGGATATCTTACAACATGAGACTGAAAAATATTTACCGTCCGGCCTGTACTGTACCACCATGGTGACAGTTTGTCCAGCTCCTTTCAGGGCTGCTGCCGCCTGTTCGTGCGTCGCATGTCTCAAGTCATTGCTATTCACCTGCAATGAAAAAAATAAATTAGTGAATTGATAAGAAGTCATTCGCGGTGGGTTGATTTTTACAAATGTAATCTAAGCAATGAATTGGTATGGTAGTTAATAACTAATGTTAATATAGTCTATATGACAGAGTATCTTGCATTAATTATTATTTATTTAAATAGATCACTTCAATTTAAAAACTAATATAATAAAATACCGTGGTAACATCTATTGAGTATAACATCAATTAGAATGCTGCAGTTCTTGTAATCTTTCATTGTCTGAAATTATTGCCATTCTTTCAGTTTGCCAACGTTCAATTATTGAAATTCTCCTGCTTTGTTTTTATTTTGAGCTATGGCTCACCCATACTTGAAATATAATTTGTCTATGTAAAGAACTCCCCTAGCCATTCGTCGGTAGTGGTGATTATGGTTACAAAGTTTAACAATTTCAAGTAGGGTCATAATTTAGGACAGGTTTTGACTCAGGTCAGCGAGAGAAAGGAAGAAAGAAGCTCCCCTCTTTGAAATGCGTTATTTCTTGTTTCCATAGCAGCAGACGGTCTTAGACTTCGTGGTGAGGGGAGTTTCTTCTATAGACAAACTATACACGTTCTGAGAGATACACTTCTTCCACTGCTCCCTCATATCCTCCTATATTGCGGATTTGATGTTATCTTGCAACAGTCTCGTCTCGTATTGTTATCGGCCATCGAGAAAATCTATCTATTCTGATATTTTATTAATACAAGGTTTCATTGTATTTGTAGTAAGTATACGCTTTCTTCAAAATACTATTTAATATTCGTATCTATCTTATCAAATTGTAAGAGACAGTTAGATTATCTGTGTAAGATAAAATGGTGTGTTTATTGTGTAATACAGTTTTGACTATTTTGAAAAATTGAACAGTCTCGTAAGGAACATAAATACTTCAATTTAGAAGGTAAATTTCGACGAAAAAGTACTTATTGAAGAATACTTAGTCTTAACTTTTTGAACAGTATTTAATTATGTGTAGTTGCTCGTTGAAAAATATCAATGGAATAATAGGTTAATAGAGAGTATAGAAAATTGTTTCAAAAAACATATTCATCACATATTTTTTTTTTTAAATATAGTGATTAAATGAATACTATTTGATTCTAGTAAGTATTTAAATCAATAAACTACGACGGAAATGGGGACGTTTTACGGTACTTTAACGAAATTAAATTCGAAAAACCTTTCACAAAGTTCATTTTTTAAAAGTGTTATTATTTTTAGTATCTTATCAAACTGCTGTATTAAAAAAAAAAAAAATACTAGAGATATAGTGACTGTTAAAATTGGACGTTTTGCATGATTAAGAAATTTTCACAAAAAATTTCCGTTTTTCTCAAAAATATATTCCTTAAGCCACTCCTTACCTGATAAAAACTAACCCATCAAAGCCTTTTTTCAGGTAAACACACCCAAATAATAAATTTTACTTCTCTTAATTCCCATCCCAGAATTTTTTTATTTTAGCATACGTGAACAGTTTTCAGGGCCTCTTAAAAGTGATAAAATCGATCCTTTTTAATTTCAAGTACAGAGAGTCGTGATGGCTCACGGGATAGAGCCATTCCAATAATATGAACCGAGTTCGAATCCCAGCTATGGCTGGTTGATAGAAATTCCGCATCCAGCTTGCACCGACCACAGTGCTAACGTAAAATATCCTCAGTGCTAGACAGATCATGGGTAAGGTTGCTGTAAGGCTAGGCTAACCGTGGGTGGTTTTAACGGTTTTCCTCTCTCTGTAACGCAAATGTGGATTAGTTCCATCAAAAAGTCCTCTACGAAGACAAATTTCTCCCAATACTTGATCCAGGAGCTCCCTTGTTTTCGGAATTGGATTCAAAATGACAAGGCTTTGTAATGGAACATAATGAGTCGTAACCCCCCCCCCCAAAAAAAAAAATATTGGGTCGGCTGTTCAACGACGGTTATAAAATGAAATAAAAATTCCAAGTACTAGTTTAAGAAAACGGACGAAATTATTATGAGTCATCTTTTTCCAGATATTTTTTAATAAATTAATTCTTTTTTTATTTAATAAGTTTTATGAAGTATTCATAGAGGCAGAAAATTTATAGGATCATATAAATAAATTTTTCAAAAACTTTTTTACATTAAAATTGTCTTTTTTATTATAAACTCTTTAAATAATAATATTTATTAATTATTTATATTTAACAATTATTTAGATTTAACACATTGTTTTGAAAACAATAATAAAAACAAATTAAACTAGATGATATTTTTAGCATGAAAATAATATTTTTTTTTCGTGTTACACTTTTTAATGACTCTAGCACAACACAAAAGGCAATTTATTTTCATATATTATAAATTGCGTGACGAGAAAAAACATTTTGCCTAATGAATTATTTATGTTGGTCATTCCATATTGATCAAATACAAGGTCGGTAAACACAGAAGGGTGTGGCGAGATAACTTTCTCCCCTCCGTTCAGCAACCAAAAGTAAGTTTTAACATAAATAAATTTTATTCGAAATAAATTGAACGCAAAATGAATAAAATATAAAAAATCAATGCATTTAATTATGTTACATAAAAGCGCAACCTGCTGTCAAATTTAATTAAACCAATTCTAACAAAACTGGGTTAATTTTATTTTATAGGAACAAGTTATATTTGTCTATTTTACGTTTGATCTGCCTTTTTCTATTTCTTCTGGATTTTCAGTTTTTTTTCTCACTGACCTAAGAATTAAAAATTTGCCACTTTAAACTAAATTAAACTCACACTAAAAATCGTGAAAAATCAATCGAAAAATCATTTTTTTAATTTTGACCATTTAATATTCATTAAATGATATAAAAAACATATTACTTTCTGAAATAATAATTTGTAAAATATTTGACACTATTAGTGTTATTTTGCTTTTTTATTACAAAAACTTGTTTTTGTGAGTGCTTTGTGTAGTGTTTCTCACAAAACAAGAATTTTGCATCGAGCTGGAAATAGAGATAGTTCCATGCGCTGTTATTTTGATAACTATTCCATGAAACTTTAGATCAATAAAAAAACTTGTACAGAAAAAAAATTCAAGATAGGGTGTAATAACATATTTTTTAGTCATTTAAATGTTCCAAATGTTAAATGTTCAAAAACGTTCATAAAGGGACGATTTTCATGTTCTTTTTGTTGGCGAAACTTGCTTTTTCTACTCTGTATGGAAATTAGTAGAAAAATGTGCACTTTCCCCCCTACAATTTGAAATGTAAATAGAGTTGAAATTAACAAATAATCTTTGAATTTAAGGAAAAATTTAGCGCAAAGAGATTAATTAAACTAAAAAAAATTTAAATGTTTCATGTTATAGCATCCACTGTAGCCTTAAGGAATCCACTCCACATTTTGGGTTAAATTGCTTAAAGGTATAGACCTAATTTTTTCACTGAGAATACGAAGGTGAACTTTTGCCTTAGAGCTTGGATTTTATTGATTAATTCCTAAATTTTTATTCTGAAATTGAAAATAATCAGTATATGAAACTGCATTCAAATAGTCCAATTATATGTAAGATAAATTACACGATAAAATCAAGTCTGAGACTTGGAATTGTTGCCAGTAATACAAATAACATTAAAAGATGTGATAGTTTGATTCAAACGGTACTAGTGATTATGTGACATCATAATTTTGCCTCACCAAAAGAAAATTCACCTTATGGAATTGTGCACGATGTTAATTCTGCATTTATTTGGATTTCATTAAAAAATAAGTTTTAATTTTTGCAGTTTTAAGTTTTATGTTTGGTAAAAAAAAATTTGAAAAACATTTTGTGTAGAGTTCCTTGGATTAGACTTTTGTAATAATGAGTTTTACTGTATATAAAAACCTTACATTTTCTTACTATTTCTATCTCGATTATTATTATTAGAAAATCTTGATTATAAGTTATTTCGCCTCGTTTCTGTAAGGAAATAAAAAAGTCGTCAAAATAAGAGACTATAAAATTTAACCACATGAATGATGTGCATGTGGATGTTATTAAAACACAAAATAAAATAATAACTGCGTTTTTTTATGACGAAATTGTAACACGAGTTTGAGTTGAAATAAACACATCTAAAGAAAAACCAGCACATGTTTGTTCGAGTTTATCCACAGGTGACAAAACGATCTAAGAAAAATACGAGAACAAATTATTTCGTGATCCTTTTGAAGCGAAATAGAACAACAGAAGTTACAGGTAATTTTACCTTTAATTAAGAATTATAATTGAATTTATTGAGTTGATTTTTAAATAATTTTACAACATTTTTGTGACTCTAAAGAGACTCACCGACAAAATCTGGTCTCCTCTCTTGAGTTCACCGCTCATGTCTGCCGGTCCACCGGTCAAGATGAAAGAGATGAAGATCCCTTCGCCGTCTTCACCACCCACTATGTTGAAACCAAGTCCAGTCGATCCTTTATTCAGGATAACTTTACGAGGTTCCCTGAAATCATTACAACAAAACATTCAACAACTTCTGACAGGGTGTGCAGTCAAATATCAGGAAAAAAAAAGCACATTTTAAGTACTTTTGAAGCACTTAAAAAATAATTTTAAGCGAAATACAGCACTCAAAAAAATATTTTTACTACTCTCTTCACGATTATAATAGCCACCATAAAAAAATAGAGAGATTTTTCGGTTCGATTTCAGAGGGTGGAAAAATAAACCTGAAATTGAGAATACCTTGTAAAATGCAACAGAGTTGCACATGAGAGTGCTGGAATCTCACCGAACTCAGCTCGGTAGACGCACATGCTGACTCGCAAATACTTCATCAAACATGTAACATGATGGGCGCTTTCATACGCTAAGGATCAACGTTAGGGATTGTGGTTGAATGAATTGTGATAACGTTAAAAAAAGCATCGTAAAAAGCACGATTTTGCATAATACGTGGCGGTAAAAAAAATCTCTTTTTCGTAAAGGGAAAATTCAGCACTTTTTAAAAACACCTAATGAAATAAGCACCTTTAAGCACTTTTTGAAAACGCTATGCACCATGAATAAGAAATACCATGCGAAGGTTCTGCAGCCTAGAGAAATGCCGTGACAGATTAGAAATTTCTCTAAAATTTCTATAAAGCAAAAATTTCTGCAAACCGCAATGCCAAAGTTTTTTTTAACTCCTATTTCATTCTTTCAAGTTATTATACTAATGAGCGCAATTCAAAAATTATTTTTATCTGATTTTGAATTAAATAAGAAACTATCACTATATTATCAAGATAATAAAGAACATTCTATTCTCTAGTATTTTATTTAGGATATTAGAAGTCGTTCTATTACAGTCCCGGCCAAATGATTAGAAGCACTCTAAGATTCTATGTAAAATCTTAATTATCAGGTGATATTCTATACAGCTTTATTGTTTTTACGAGATTGTTTGCACTTGTTTACGTTGCTGTATCAATGGGTTAACATTGTAATGCAATACGTTTAAAATAACTACGAATAGGAGGAAAAAATCTCCCGTATTAAAGCCCATTACATGGATGCTTAAATATAAAAGTATCGCATATAAACTCGAGCATGTAATTATTAAAAACATGTAATTATTAAAAAAACAACAATGCGTCTAATAATTTGGTTTAAATATTAACATATACTAATATATTACCTGCGGTTAATTCAACCCATTGATAGACGAACGTAAACAAGTGCAAACCGCGTAAAAACAATAAAGCTGTATAGAGTATCACCTGATAATAACGATTTTACACAGAATCTTAGAGCGCGTTTAATAATTTGGACCTTAATTATTGTTAAACACTTAATGTTTACTTCTTTGAAAAGATATGAAAACAATTAGTGATAGTCAACAAAAGAATTTTCGATACAGCTAATTGTCTACCAAGGGAATCATGAAAAGCACTTTGAAGACCAATGGCATGAAAGTCAGCATTGCGCTCCTGCCGCTTTTACTTCCCGATGAAGTCTCCTTCATTCGGAAGTCGACCTATTCGATGAGTAGCTGCTTTCTATCGAACTGAAGCTGATTCGGGTAGAAACTGAGAATAGAATATCGGTTAACGGAAGCTCTATCCCTCACTCGAGACAATTCTTATCACCGAATCTATAGAATAAATGAGTTTGTTTTTAAAAAAATAATTAAGCATGAAAATAGAAAATATTCATTTATTTTAATGGTGGGTACTTGGGTCTTTTTCCCATTTCCCTCATAAATGTCAGAAATGCTACTCTGTTATCGTTACACAGTGGGCATCTGTGGCTGAGCCATGGCACGGAGTAGCGTCTCCCACGTCATACAACAACAAACCCGTTTATAGGGACGGTTACAAAAAGAAAGAACACAGATGTAGTAGTAGTTCGTTTACGTCGCACTAGAGCTGCATCCCTGAGGATGATCCGAAGACATGCCATCACAATTTTGATCCTCAGATGAGGGGACAGCACCCCCGCTTCTGTAGCCCGACCACCTGCACGCGAAGTCGAGTACTTTACGATAGAACAGTTTAACGAGGAACTATACAGCACACCCTCGATTCCTTCGTAGACCGATCCAAGTGGTCACTCACCTGCACACTGACAGCAGACAGTGAGGTTTGACTTTGGTGTTCTACTGAGAACCGTGTCTTAAGGATCAGTCCACTGCGGAACACATAGAACAGAGAGAAAGTTAGATCCATGCCTACAGTGGGCTTTGAACTCACAACCACTGGCCCCGTAGTCCAGTACAGTAATCACTGGACCAGTGATCGGCAAATAGAAAATATAAATATTAAAATAAATAAGAAAAAAAATGATGGATGTATACCTCGTAAATTCCTCATCTGCAGCCACTTTAGGAAGGATGGCATTCATCAAGGAATCCGTGTCATACTTTGAGAGAGGCACTGCAAAATATGAAATTATTTATTCTATCAACTGTTTCGACACGATTAATACAAAATTAGATGTAACAAATTAACTTTATTAAAATACGAAATGTATGTCTCAGCATTTTATAGAGCGGACAACAGTTGCAAACAAAAGATATTCTTACAAAAAAACATAATAATTGTTAGACTATTAATTTAAAAATTATTCAATATTTAACTTATGAAATAACTTTTTAATGTGTCTACTACTACAAAAAAAAGAGTATATAGTAATTCCAATTGACTAGTATATAAGACATCGATTCTAGGGGGTGGGGTGACTCCTCCCTCATCGTTTACTATTGAAAAGTAGCATAAATGGGTGACTTTGAAGTTTCATCTAGTCTAGTTTATTCTAATTATGGGAGATAACATCCAGCAGTTATCTTTTGGGGGAATCGTAGATCTCGAAAAGCACATAAATGACGGTTATTTGTAATCTATCCTACGAAGCAGCATTCACTAACAGTTTGGCAGAAATAGTTGAAAGCCTTTAATGATAGAACCACACATATAATTTTAGATGGAAGGTCACTAATGGAGTCGATTCCCACATGAACCAAATTATTATTTGAGTCGTGATGGCTCAGGGGATAAAGGATTCGCCTTCCAATAAGGTAAATTGAGTTTGGATGGCTAATCGATACGAATTCCGTATCTGGCTCGCGCGAGTACAACAGTACGTCACACCCGTTTATAGGGCGGACCCATTCATTCATCCACAAATCATCATTTTGTCCCGAACCAGAGAACGAACAATCTCTGAATCAGTACCCTCAGATTTGCAATGGGAAAATGGAGGACTTTGTGACCCGGAGTCGTAAACTCAAAATTGGGTCGGCTGTTCAATACGACAATGAATGAGACGAGTGTAAAAATATCAATGCTAGTTTGAATGCCCGATGAAACTAGACGATGTCTTTCAATTCTTCCTATTATCTTGGGGTAATCGAAGAGTTTTTTTTTTATTTTTTATTTAATCTTATCTTCCACTTTGGTGATTTCTCATGTTCTGATAACGTTTTTTTCTTCCTTATTTAAATAATAATTAGCAATCCCTAATCAGCATGCATTATTTACTTCATTTTTGAAAAGGATTTGAAAAATAAACATTAAGGGTGTTGTTTAGAAAATACCAGTTATATTCGTCGTTAAATGAAATCATTCTTAGATTTCATTATTCAGCATTCTCATTTTTTTCCATTATAAATCCTCAATTATATTACATTTTTTTTCGTACTTTATCTGTTGATTGAAAAAGAATATCTATAAAATTTCCGTTTTAGAGGTGGCAACACAACGTTAGCATTTTTTTTTTTTAATGCTCATAATGATCTCGGGGTTCAAATCACTACAAAACGCCTACAATGTCAGAGAGGATTCTGAATAATAATCAACTTGTACATTACTGCGCAGAGCGCCATCTGTTGGATTTTAGAAATATTAATAACAGTTCCCCCCCCCCGATGAACTTTCAGTTCATTACAAATTAAACATTTCAAAATATTAACAGAATTATATTTACAAAAAATTTATCAGAATTATATTTACAAAATATTTATCAGAATTATATTTACAAAATATTCATCAGAAATACATTTACAAAATATAATTAAAAATTATATTTAAAAAAAATGTGAAGTAGCAATGCTTCTAAAAAATATTATAAATCTAAATTTCTTACCTTATGAACATTTCTCAATTATATAACAATTATAATTCAACAATATTAAACGAATTCCTAAAATAATATGTTTTATAAACATTAGTTTAAACCACTTACCAAATATTTTCTTTATAAATGAAATTATTGAAATTTAATAAATAAAATATCAAATTTAAATAAATAAATTATTTTAAATTTCATAAATAACTAAAATATAAATTATCCAATCATAGATAATAATAAAACAATTTTTAGGATCCTTACTCATTCAAAATATATTCCATTTTAAACAAACATATATTTAAACAAGAATCAAATATGCATTAAATACAAGAAATACATATACATTAAATTTTCTTTCAATCAAAAAATTCAAAATATTAAATACGATGGTCGCAGGGTTCAAATCATTATAAAACGCTATTAAAAGAAAATAAAACATTATATTATCTATAAAAAAATACGATTCACTACAAATTGAGGAAAATTGTGATAGCCGCAATGCGATCACAGGTTACCTAATGGCAAAATGGTTGTAGTCTAATTTTTTTTTGGAAGAGAAACTTTATTGTGTTTTCATATTGAACATCTTTAACTGTTAATCCTGAACTGCTCGGTACACAATTTCACAGACATATTTAAATGCAGCTCAGACACATTCTGTGTAAACTCTTTTGATGACTGAATAGACATTGAACAGTCAATTGAGATCAATAACATTTTCGGATTGGATAATGGTGTTTGATGGAGATTGTAAGCTGCATCCGCTTCGGATTCACAAGTTCATACATGAAATATGATTCGAAAGCTAGGCTTTTTTTTTCAATTTTACACGAATAGTGAATGAATCATTCATATTGCGTGGAAGACAGTCTACGGTCTTGTGAAAGTTATTGGGTACGTTGACAATGGATCCTTTTATCCTTAACTGCTGATCAACACTCAGTTCTCGTATTTGCATGAAAGGAGTTCAGAAAGTCACCATTCGCTCTTCTATAGGGTTCAATTCTCTCAACCACTTTGGTACTTTTATGAGGAACAAGCTTCATGCTTGCGTTTATGTGTAATGTTCCTTTCGTTTTTCCATTTGTGTGTAATGCTTAAGGAATTCCCGTCTACGTTCTTCGGATTTTCATCCTCGGGTAAGTTTAGGCCTTGGCATCGTTTTTTTTTCTTGCGTCAACTCTAATTTTTGGGACCATGTCAATCAGTTTTGACCCTCTTTATGTGTGATATTCACCTGAATGAGTATTGAAAATGATCCAGTTTGAACTGAAGGTTAGAATTTATGATTCTTAATTAAAACAAAAGTATCGTTCAAATGATGAAATTCTCTTTTATTCACAACTCTAGAAGTATTTATGGGATCTCTCTGGTCCCTTATCTCAAAAATAAACTCACCCACTTAATGCATAACAAAATTAAAAGTGGAAAAAAGAATTCTAAGAAAATGATCAAACAGCAGCGGTCGCCATAGAAACGCAAGCGCCCTGTTTACTATTACTCTTGATTATTGTAGTTGAAAAGTGCGTACACCATGCAATCCAAACCAACACCCATTTTGCCAATTGTTCAGTAGCAAAAAGGAATGATGTTAATACTACAATGTCAGAGCGGCATTTGTTGCATTTTACAAAATATTATTAACAGCTGATAATCAGAAACTTTAGAAATTCTTACTGGGTGAAGAGACATCTTCTATGTATGAAGGAGGAGATGAGATATTATGATTGGTGAAAAAATCAGGTGGGAACCTGGTCTTCATTACAGTGAGCACCACGTGGTCTGACGTCGCTTTCAACGTAGCCACCGCTTCTTCGTGTGTCACGCGTTCCAGGTTGACGTCTCCCACCTGCAAATAATCATTAGAATTGTATCATTTCTTTCTGAAACTCGCAAATGTTTATAAATGTGGTATTAAATAATAACTGTCTTCACTATAACCATTGTTAGAAACTGTGTAAAAAAATTAGTAATTAAGAGCAATTAATAATTAAGAGAAAAAATTATGTTCTACTCTATTGGTATGAATGAAAGCAAAATTGGGATGACTTTCATCTAAAACCAATTTATTTGAAGATGAAGCGTAAAGTGGTTTCTGATGATTTTAATACCTCCTTTGCTTTTCTTGATTCCGATTTTAATTTTATACTTATTACTACTAAAGTTCAATTCCGTAGCCTTGTCATTTCGGACCCGATCCAGAAGACAAGAGAACTCTTGGATCAAGCATTGGGAGAAATTTGCCTCGGTGCAGGACTTTTTGATGGAACTAACCCACAATCGCGTTACATGGAGAGGAAGACGAAGAGAAGCTCCCACTGACGGCAAGGGGACTCTAGCTCATGATCCGTCTACTACTGAGGATATTTTACGTCAGCACTGTGGTCGGTGCAAGCCGGATGCGGAATTCATATCGACCAGCCATCGCTGGGATTTGAACTCGGTTCACCTCATTGGAAGGCTCTATTCTCTGAGCCATCACGGCTTCTTGATTTCGATTATAATTTATCAGAGTTTCGTAGCGTGTTTTTCTAATTTGCATGCTTTTTTAAAGAAAAAAAATGTTGAATAAGGATTTTACTTACAGCGAGAAGTTTGTCTCCGACTTGAAGCCTGCCATCCAAGTGAGCCGCACCACCTTCCATCACCTTCGTGATGTAGATGCCATCATCTCCAGGGACGTGCTGATTGCCCACTCCTCCGGCTATACTGAACCCCAGACCTTTGTTTCCTTTCACTAACTCTATCTCCAGAACACGCTCAGGTTTTAGTCTCTTCACCAACTACAACAATTCACAATCTTTACAAAAACGTCATATTTAAATAATTTTACTTTTCATTTCACTAGAAGTATCCGACTAGTTTCGACAACATTGTTTTTCACATATTAATGTAAAATTGAACTAGTTTTTTTCTTTTATTATGAGTAAAAAATTATAAAACCAGGGGACATTATTTTTATTTTAAATGGCCTGTCTTAGGAAAAAACATATGGGCTAAACACAGTAAAAAAAATTTCTCTCACCTAAAACAAAACAAAAAATCCTTTGGATATTTTATTTATTAAGTATCAACTATGTATTGAACTATTATCTTAAAAGCAAGTGCATATACGACTAAGTTAGGGATCAATGCAGTAAAAAAAGCAAATTTTTAAAAATGTCCGCACTTGTCTTTGCCAAAAAACATGCATAAGAAATAAAATTCTACTTTTTTTCTCTTAGCCTGCAGTTCAAAAAGTGTGCTATAAACGTTAACACTCACTAAAAATTGTAAACAATTATTTAAAAAACAACACGTGTTTAAGGTGGTGTGAAATGTAAAATAAAAATCTAACGTATTTAAAGACCTATAATCATTAATCTATCCACCTAGCACAAAAACTGCTATAACTTTGTAACAAATCAAATTACAAACAAAAATAAGGTATTTTAAGAAAGCTTCTGAACTCAATTTCAAAATTTTTGTTAACTAGTCACCTTAAAGACATTCCTGAAAATAAAATCTGCCTTATATAAAGCGCCACACAATAAAGATTTCTAGACAAGGTGAAATGCGGACATCCAGTCGAGCGTCTTCAGGCACCCTTTTTTCTCATCGATTCACACGTCTGGGAAGACTTTACACCACTTTTTGCTAGCTGGACTCCCTTAGACGCACTATAAAATTCTTTGTAAAATTTTAATGATTAGGTGATACTATACAGCAGGGGTGTCAAACTCGCGGGGCGCATGCGGCCCGAGATGAACATTTTTGCGGCCCAATCAATATATCCGACGCAAAGTAAAAATAAAATAGAAATGTGAGTCAGAAAGTAAACTAGCATATGAAATTATAATATACTTTATTCATAAACTATACGGATCATTTTAAATTGTGCGAAAATGTAAAATTCGAATTGGCTTGCGGCACCTGCCCTTCCAGGGATACTGCATCGTATCAAAAATAAGCAGAAAAATTTTCAAATCTTAGAACAGAACTTGAAACAAGGTTTAAAGATTTTAATTCTTTGGAAGATAAATTTCGTTTGTTTTCGTCGATTTTCTCAATAAATAAATACTCAGTACCCAGTAATATGCAAATAAAAGTCATTGAGATTCAGTGTGACTCAAATTTGAAGGCAAAATTCATTGAAGTGGATGTGCCTGAATTATACAAATATTTACCGGCAAGGTTTGAAAATACTCGAAAATTCGCATATGAAATTATTTCCATGTTTGGAAATACTTATTCAGTGCGAGCAATTATTTTCTGTTATGAATGGAAATAAATCTCCTGTCCGAAACCGTATTAATAACGCTCTCGTTGGGTCAATTTTGAAAGTAGTCTCGGCCAATAAAATTTCTCCTGAAATAGGAAAGATAGTAGCAGAGAAGAGATGTCAAGTATCAAACAATAATTTAACTTTACATATGTTTATTACAATGTGCTATTCAAAATAAAAATATTTGTTTCTATGAACATTGATTTTTTTTTTTTTTTTGCGTCCCACAGAAAGCTAAAGTTAAGCATTGTTTATTTGGCCTAAGTTAGCTTTTGAGTTTGACACCCCTGCTATACAGCATTGTTTTTACGTGACTTGCTTACGTTCGTGTATTAATGGGTTAAAGTAAACGATATGCTATATAAATTCGACGATTGGTTGAATTACACCATATATTACATAAATATTTATTATACCAGGCATTATATTAGTATATTGTAATAATTAGATCTCATTATGAGACGCACTATAGTGTTTTTATAATGACATGTTTTGAACGAGTTTATGAGCACTTTTATATTTTATAAGTGTATATGCACTTTTATATGTTTGTTTTGCACTTTTGTATTTAAACCTACATGTTATGGGTTTTTATTCGGGAGATTTTTTTTATGTACTTTCTATTTGTATTTAATTTTTAACGTATTGCATTACAATGTTAACCCATTGATAAACGAACGTAAACAAGTGCAAACATTCGCGTAAAAACAGTAAAGCTGTATAGAGTATCACCTGATCATTAAGATTTTTCATAGAATCTTAGAGTGCATCTAATAATATGGTCACGGACTGCATATACATTTGATTCGTGTCAGTCTGAGGATGATATATAAACTGTCAAAGCGAATCAGGCCAAAAATTGTGTGAATGAATACTTTATACCGAATCAAGCGTTGATGCACACTTTAAAGGCTCATTCGAACAATCATTCAGAAATCCTAAATCAGATGCATTTTTTTCCATTCATAAATTTCTCAACGGACCTTTTTTTCTGGTGCATGAGATTTTTTTAACAGATCTTAGTTTACGTTACACTGATTTTAAATCTACTATTTGTTTCTACCCGAATCTTCAATTAAAACTGTATAGAAAATCGCGAAATGTCGCCGACATACGTCGTAAGGGGCGCTTCCCTATCATAAACTGTTTCTTCGTTCGCTTCTGAACTAGTTAAAGTAGGGAGAACACCCCTAGCCATGCCATTTCGGTTACGATTTCATATTTAATTTCAATCCTGATGATGTACCCTTACATCTCTTAAAGTGTGTCGCATGATTTACACAGTAACAGATAACGTTTCTATTTTGTATATTTCGACAAAAATAAACTAAAAATGTCATTTTAAATTTTTTTGAAAAAATGTGTATCCTTAGCAGCAAAACTAATTTCATATTTGAAATCCCTACTTACAAATGCGACGAAAATGTATTATTCTCGTCAATTTTGGCACTACAATTGGAAACCATGAGATTGTTTACAGAGTGTAAGAATAAGAAATGAATATACCAGCCTGACTGTGTGACCGGCTCTCTTGAGTGCATCGACAGCAACGCAATGAGGAACGTCCACAACATTTGCTTCATTCACTTTCACTATCGCATCGTTCACCCTTAAAAACAAAAGTGATTTCTTTAAATTCACACATTTAATTTCCAAATAACCTATTACAAAGTCTCAAAAGAGGAATAAGCAAGACTTTCCCAATCAGCCTATTACAAGTCCCAATAAAATTTATTTAATCTAATTAGCCTCAAAAGAGGAATAAGCTAGACTTTTCTAATCAGCCTATTACAAGCCCCAATACAATTAATTTAATCTAATTAGCCTCAAAAGAGGAATAAGCAAGACTTTTCCAATCATCCTATTACAAGTCCCAATACAATTTATTTAATCTAATTAGCCTGAGAAAAGGAATAAGCAAAATGCTTCCTATTAGCCATTTTACCCAAATATGACCTTCTTATTTGAAGAAGAAGTCAATCCCACAATTTCAGCGTGGTGCAAAATTAGAGAAATTTTGCAACTAGCCAGTTGTGGCATTTTCAACAGTGGCCACTTCTTAAAACACGCGACCACTACTTTTTCAAAAATTGAACGAGTAAAAAAAAAAAAAAAATTATTTTCTTTAATAATGTAAGGCATTTTTCAAAATATAGTGTTTGAAGCATTTTTTCAAGGTTCACTTTTGAAACGAAAGAAAGCTTTGAAGAACAAGCGTGAAAGAAAGTAATTTGAAAAAAAAATTATAAAATATTCATATTTTTTTAATGAATAAAATACATATTTTCGTGTGGTGGCAGATTTATGTACAATTTTAGTAAAATCACTTACTGCAATCTTCCATCGGCTGCAGCAGCGCCACCTGCGATGAGTTTCGTGATGTAAATGCTTGGGTCATCCCCAATGTGGGGATTATCAACACCACCAGCTATGCTGAAACCCAATCCAGTGCCACTCTGAAACAAAGACAAACAATTATTGACTGAATGTAAACAATAACAAACTTACACTAAAATCGGAAGAAATTTAGAAAACTTCCGATGTATCCCTCCGCTTATGTTATGAGGCGAAGTGTTAAAAGGCTAGGAAGTTTTATTATTCTGATGCGTGTTTAAATTTACGTGTGATTTTTACCATTCATAAGAATTTTCCGCAATTTATAATCTACTAAAAGGTCGTGAGCCTAAAATAAATTCAACAAAATTAATATTACAATATAAATACAGAGATGCCAACTGCTCCGGACGCGCCTAAATAATTTAAAAAACGGTAAATAATTACAAAGTAAATTTACAAATATTTGACTAATTTTGCTTACTTTTTAAAAGGTTCAGCATGACGTAACTATAACAAAGTGTTGAATTACATAAGCCTTCGAATTATTTAGAAATAGTGGTTGATAAAAACCCAGTAAATTGAATTTATTGAAGGAGGAATCACAATTAATAAACTACCACTCGAAAATATTTATTCGCTGTCCGGAGCAAGTTGGCATCTCTGTAAATAAAGCGTAAGGTTTGCTTCGCTTTAGTGTTAATCTTAAAATTATGTAAAATATCAGTGGTTGTTTATTTTTTGGGTAGCATCATAACAAGTTTGGGGATAATTCATTTGTTATTTGTTTCTTTCATAACTAAATTGAAAGAACGCGTAATATTGCGAACACTGCAAGCGTAATAATATTGAATGGCGTGTGCTTTTCCAAGCTTAGGTGCAAAAATCAATCGGAAATCGTAGCCCGGAAATTTTACGACGAATTTTAACCTCCAAAGGACCGAGGGACTCTTCGTATGTCTCGATGTCCTACCGTTTTGTATTAGAAAACATTAGATTAGTAATATTTAAAAAAAAATTAAAGGTTGTAAGAGATTTGGTGAGTTCACAAACGGCACTTAATATTTTCGCTCACCAAAAGGTGGCAGTTGATGGGTTGCCAGCAGAGTAAAAAAGCAGCATAAAAAAGTAACGAAAAAAAGTATTTTATACCCTTTCCAGCGTGATTTCTTCATACTCCCAATCTTCTTCGCCATTTGTCTAAAAGAAATTATTTAAACAGTTAACGTACAACAGATTTATATCATTTACACTTATCAGCTCACATTATATCCTCAAAAACAGTGCTTTCTAATATTGCCAAAGCACAATACAATACAGGACTGTTTCAAAATGAGATTACAAACATCTACAACTATTGAATGAAAAATAACTTATAGATAAGATTAACATAGAATGTAGATGGAACTTTAAAATTGCTTTACGTAGGGCGCAGTGAAGCGGAATTCTGCGCGAGTTCATAAGTGAAAATGGCGAGTCCCATGCAGAAAGCATTTTTCCTGTTATAGTTTAACAATTATCATTCTGTTATCACAGCGTCAGTGTTACAATCAAGAACCTCTAAATGGGAACAACATTTGTAGATGGATGTTTGTGCAAAGGAATGAGTAGCGGAAGAATGTACGGCGTGAAATGGTAGTAGATGTTGTCCGTTGTGACCAAGGAAAGTCACATGGAAAATCTCTGTGACGCATCTATACAAAATCCTTCTACATTCTGTGCGCATCGATACATTCTTTTTCATTAAATAGTTATAGCCGTTTGAAATCTCTATATTAATTTTAAATTACAATCTACATCAATACAATAGGAACACCAAAAAGAGGAAAAAATAAAAAAACCGATTCGAAAATAAAGTTTTACCAAGTAAAAATCACAAAGGTAAAAACCCAATCCAGAAGACAAGGGAACTCCTGGATCAAGTATTGGGAGAAATTTGTCTTCTTTCTGATGGAACTAATCCGCATTTGCGTCACATGGAGAGGAAAACCACGAAGAACCTCCAACGGTTAGCCTGACAGCAAAGGGACTCTAATCCATGATCCGTCTACCACCTAGGATATTTCACGTCAGCACTGCAGTCGGCGCAAGTCGGATGTGGAATTCATAACGACTGGAATTCGAGCCCGGTTCGCCGCATTGGAAGACGAACACTCTTTCCCCTGAGCCATCGCGACTCTTGGGATAGATTTCCATCTGAACCGGTGAATGGTGACAATCACATAGTAGCTTTTTGGTAAATGTCTGAAGCATATACTAGGTTCAGTTGAGTACCACTGCCCGGTACTTCGAACACAGATGTTTCTCCTAATCTATCCTCAGCAGACATTAAAATAAATTAAATAATATCAAAGAGTAAATGAATATAAAATCGGATATAACAAATGTTTTGCACATTGACCAAAGCGACTACGTGATTGTTGACATTCACCGGTGAAAGTCGACATTCGTTGGATTTCGGTCATTCACAGTAACATTTATACAAAACATAACATTAAGGAAAATTAAATGAACAATTAATGCGTGAGAGGTTATCTTGCTCTTAGAATACAACAAACATTTAAAATAGCTGCATTATCGAAAATTCCCTTTAAATTCATTTTACCAACTCAATAGAAATAATTTCCTCGTGGTAAGAGTGTGGAAAAATTATGAGACAACTGATTACACGAAAGTAATTAAAACTGCATATAGTCTGTGCTATATATTACGTATAACACAATTTTTGCAAACTAAATTAATTCCAATTGAGGGGCAAAGAAGGCGATTAAGTAGTATCTGACGCATTAAACAGAAACCATTTTCAAACTGCTATTTATCTACATTCACTAAAAAATTATTGTTAATTATTTTGAATACCATTTGGAATTTTATTTCAGTACTTAAAATTACTTAAAGTCATGATGGGTCGTCAAGTGTACAAATTGTTTTGAAAATGATTCGTGTATGTGTGTATATATATATTATATATATATTTCATATATATATGATATATGATATCATATGATAATCCCAGCACTTTGGGAGGCCGAGGTGGGTGGATCACCTAGGGTCAGGAGTTCNGTCTTCAAAATAATCTAAAATTTTTTTTGTATACTTCTTTAGTTACATTTATTAATATCTTACAGACAGTAGTGTAGTTTATTGACATTTACTCGAGAAAAAAAATAAAATAAAAATTCGCCAAATCTTGAATGCTAGGAAAATGACATATTAGCTTAGAAGTTTAAAAAACACTCTTTTTATGTTAATAGTAAGTAACTCAACTTAAGCCTTTATGTTAGATGGACCATAAATTACTTAAATTAATGCTTTTTAACCAGTGTAGAAAGAATCAAATTTTTTTTTGTTGCTACTGATATGTACAGAATAAAATTATGTATAATAACCAATCATTAAATAAATAAATAACTTTGATTACATCCAACCATATTACAATCATACATAAACTTGGTATTAGGTTAATATTTGCTTTTCCTCCTTACAGTATTAGCAGTTAAAAAAAATTTCTGGTAACACTTCAATGTCCTGGAATTCATAAGCCAGGAAAATGACAGCCAAGATAATGACAAATTCGCCATTTTATAGCATATAACTTTACTTCAATTTAATATTTTGGCCTAAGACGTTTACATTCTGCAGAAAACAACATGATTTCTTAAAATAACTGAGATAAATCTATGTAGTTCATGTTATTAATGATTTCAAGAAGCCAGGAAAATGACAACACAAAAACCTACTGATCTTGAAAAATTTTTTGAAATAGATTTTGAACCAGAAAATTGATTCTTTATTCATGCAACAAGACATGTTCATATAGGAGGGTATCTGATCAATCTATTAACATAAGATATTGACTGCTGGCTCTATCTATTTTGGTTATAAAGCACTAAATAAAAGTAGCCAGGAAAATGGCAGATTTTCTTGGGACAGACAAATTATTGACAGAAAAAATTTATTTAAACGAAGTTTTTATAAATAATACCCTCTGCGTATATTCTAGAAATGCTTACACCGGTTTAGATCAAAAAAATTAGATATAGAAAAATTATGGGAAGTTTTGAAGCTAGTTATTATTGGAAACATTGTTTAGGACATGCCAGAAACATGACATTTAAAAGTTCAATTAAAGTTTTTAACTATACAAAACATTCAATGCTAGTGCAAAGTCATTTTAAAATGCTAACAGCAATACAATTTACTATTTTTTTTTTAAAAAAAGTTGTTTTAGTATTATAGTATTTGATCTTCGAGAAAGGGACAGTGAATTGTCATATTTCGTGAGAATCACCCATATATATATATATATAGTTTTTTTTAGTTGGAAGGAGATGTTTGTATGGAATGCCTCGCGCGCTGATTTCAAGTGGGTAAACAGTTTTTATCTTTATTCTGTTTTTGAGATATGTCATAGTTATTGTTACGTCATAGTTATAGATACGTTTATTTAGAAACATACATAAGTTGAGACAAGCATAGTTAAGTTGAGAAACATACATAAGTTGAGACAAGTATAGTTAAGTTCATATAAACAAAGTGAAATTGAGATGTATGCATTTCCTTTGCGCCGGTGAGGAAAAAAAAGCAATGATGTTTCTTGGCTCGAAACTTTCAACTGACTTTGACGCTATTTTGGTGATCTGATTTTAAAAATTAAAATTGTTTTTTTTGACTAATTTTATCCTCTCTTTTCAACAGTTTTTTCTATGTAACTTTATTTTCTAAACAGACGTCGTAACTCTTTGAAATTCAACTTTTTTTTAAGCATGCTAAAACTAGAAATTAGAATAATAGCGAAAATTAATTTGACTTTGTTAAAACAAATAAAGGGCATACCATATATTGTCATAAATAAATTGAAAATGTTGTGCATGAATTAAAAAATTTATATCAGCTTTGATTAATATCTAATAGATAAGAGAGAAAATGTACTTTGCATATTTTAAATCATAATAACACATACAGTCAAAACATGCATCCATTTTAACTGCGTAAAACAGAAAAATAAAAATATTAGGTCAGAGTAATCAGAAAAAATATCAAAGTAATCTGTCAGAGTAATAAAAATCAATCGGAAATTAAACATAATTCTTTTTCTTCAAATTAAAAAAAAAATCTTTCTAATATCTTAACAGTGAGAAGAAAAATCGTATTGTTCTTAAATTTTCTTATATTTTACATCTTCTTTTTTCATCCATAAATTGGACCGATAGGTACTAAACAGAGATGATAAATAATATTTCAAATATATCTTTCAAAATTTTAATTTCCTTAATAATTAAACTTAATTTATTAATTACTGAAATAATTTTTTTTTTTAAAAATTGCTTTTATTTAAAGAATATTTTGCTGATCAAGTCAGTCAAAAACAGATTCAAAACTAATCGAACTTTTGATTAATCATTTTAAGGAAGTATTTATTTTATTTTGTTGTTCTAACTGTTGTCATCCTTTCTAATCTTTCAAAAGGCGAAATAAAAATTATTGTTACAGTAAATTAAATGTCTTGCAATAGGTTGGATCACATTTTTTTGCTGGAGTTTCTCTAAGTAAATTCCTTAAACTGGTTACATGCGTTAAAAATATGGTATTTCTATCGTTTAGAATGATGATATTAAGTATAAACTTCGTACCCGTAAAATTTATTGACGTATATTTATATACTTTAGTGTGCAAAAGTGATTTAATAAACATACATAAAAATACTTATTAACCTAGGTATAATGTTTCATAAACTTAAAAATCACTCGTAATTTTAAATAAAAATAAAAATCACTAACAATATTAAATAAACACGAAAATCATTAATAATATTTTTAAAAAAAACATACAATTCAGAGATTTGCGTGTTTCTTTATCCCATAATGAAGACTAACATGAGATGTTTAAGGGCAAATTGGTTAAGATTGCTTATTTCTTAGTCCTTCCTGCTATATTCTTTTGAAGTTTTGAGTATACAGGGTGCCTCATAAATGTTACAACAAGGGGAAATAGGGCACATCATACGAAACTATGATCGGAAATGTCCCCTTACGCTGCTAGGGGCGCTTTCCTATTATGGACACGTTGTTCGCGTGCCTTTGAGCTTGCACTTATAAATTTCTTCTATATATGCATAAGTTCAAAATGTAGAGAAAACATTAAAAAATTTACAGAACAATGAAAAAAGGTAGAAAGAAAAATAATAAACAAAATAATAAAAATTGGGAAAATAAAAGATATAATCTTTTCATCAGCTCACACGATTAAATCCGCAAAAAGGAGTGCATTCTAATATTGTATCAATATAGCCAGAGCAAAATATATCAATACAATAGTTTGAGGAGCACTAAAAAAATTTTTTTTTCTTCTTAATTTTCCTTGTTTTTTTCTTTTTTTTAAATTTATTTATTATGATATATACATGAATCATTTTCACAAAAATTGTACATTTGATGACCCATCATGACTTTAAGTAAATTTAAGTACTGAAATAAATTTCCAAATGGTATTCAAATTAATTGACAATAATTGCTTAGTGAATGTAGATACATAGCATTTTATAAATGGTTCCTGTCTAATGCGTCAGATACTCTTTAATTGCCTTCTTTGCATCTTATTTAATCAATTAAACAAACGGTTAATTGGAAATAATTTAGTTGCGAAAATTGTGTTATACATAATATATAGCACAGAATGTATGCAGTTTTATTTACTTTTGTGCAAACAGTTGTCCTAGAATTACTTACCATGATTAAATTACTTCTATTGAGTTTTCAAAAATGGTTCTATGATCTAGAATCTTAGGATAGCTACTTTAAAAAATTTCATCATGTTTGTTGTATTCTAAGAACAAGACCTAAATATTTTTTGGCCATTCAACCCTAAATGATCGTCTTTCCTTTTGGGCGACCACGATTTCATAAACAATGTTTATTAGCGAACATACTAACCGAATGTAATTCGAACTATTGTACTTCTAATTATTTCGCAAATATTTAAACTGAAGAAAGTTTCTAATTTTTTCCTCATTGGCGTATTACTTTAATAATTTCTATTAAATATCAAATAAATAATGAATACATGTATATAGTCCATATATAATTATTGTTGTATTTCAATTTGAAAGTGAAAAGAAATATCTTTTTCATGACACATTCAATGTATAATGGCTTTTTAAATTTCTAATTTTTTCCTCATTGGCTTTAATAATTTCTATTAAATATCAAATAAATTATTAAAAATAAACCTGAATGGTGAGGTTGAGGAAGACTTACCCTGATGTAGTTGTAGGGGTGTTGTGGAAAGAGAAATTCGTTCAACCATTTCCGCATCCTTTCACGTAAATCTTTACCGAAAATAGTTTTTCAACTAATTTTAGTTTACATCACTTCACTTAAAAAAACGTACAAAAACAATCCAAATAACCTAACTTAAGTAAGGCGTTACCCTGGACGACACTATCGCAAAAGATAATACACCCTACAGATAAGAACATTTTCAGCTCAACGAAAAAAATTCTATAGCTTTTTTAAAAAAAAACTTTTTATTCACACCCTCGACATCTTAGATATTAGGCAAAATATTTTGACTTTCGTTTTCGTGATTTTTGTGCTAACAAACAGCACAAAACGCAATAAAAAATATGCGAGTCAACTATTTAAAACTAGATATTTGTCAGCCATGAAATTTATTAAAAAATTTAATTCTATTACTGTTTAAACTGATGAAAACCGATTTGAGTACAAATAATAATATTTACAACGTAAATGACATAAAATTAAAGATATTCATCCACTATTTAATAAAAAAATACTGATTTTCTCAGAAAACGTTGAGTAATACTGGCAAAAAGAAATTATTTGTGAAAATAGAAAAAATAATTTTCCCTCACCTCAAAACCTTAAAATCGATTCATATAATTTCGATTTTAATCGCTTAAAGGAAATAAATAATATCGAATAAATAATGAAATAAATAACTTAAAATAGTTTCGATCAAAGTCGATAGCTTAAAATCTGTTGTTAAGCTTAACCGATTTATCCCGAGATAACTCGGATATGTATAGATTGCAAATATTTATTATCCCGAGATAACTCGGGTATGTATAGATGGCAAATATTTATTATCACGAGATAACTCGGGCCAAGCAGAATTTGGAGCACATGTTTTGTATGATTGTATATACAATGGTTGCTGAATTTACATAGAATATAAAAAGAGTACAAAAAAAATGGCGTGGTATTAAAAACTATCATTCATAGACTAATATTTAATTTTTTCCGTTTGCCCGAGATAACTCGGGATAGTATACTTATTGTAAAGTAAATGTTTTTTACTAACGAAAAAAATTGAATTTCAGTTTAAAACTCGTGTATTATATTTTATTTTAGTTCCTTGTATCTATTAATTAAATAAAAAAATATACTGATTTTTTGCATTTTTTTTTATTCAAAACAATTGGCAAATCGATTTTACTTTCAAAAATTCATCATAAAAAATTTAATTTCAAAAACGTCTGAGAAAAATAATTTCAAAATCTTTTTATTTGTACTTCAAAAAGTATGACTGAATAAAAAACGAAACGGAAAAGAACATTCGTTGAATAAAATACCAATATATTTTTGTGCGGCGAAAGTTAATTCGTGACTCATCAAGATATGTTTTGAGTTTTTCATTGAAAAAACTGCTCCAATAACAAATACATAATATATATGAATGTTACAAATAGGACATCAGAGTCGTGGTGGCTCAGGGGATAAAGCGTTCGCCTCCAAGTGACGTGAACTGCGTTCAAATCCCAGTCATAGCTGGTCGATATGAATTCCGCAACCCGCTCGCACCGACCACAGTGCAGACGTAAAATATCCTCAGTGGTGGACGGATCATGGGTTAAATTCCCCTTACCATCAGGCTAACCGTGTGAGGTTTCCGTGGATTTCTTCTCCATGTTGCACAAATGCGGGTTAGTTCCGTCACAAAGTCCGCCCAAAAATCCAAGTCTTTCATCCAATACTTCATCCAGGAGTTCCTTTGTCTTCTGAATTGTGTTCAAAATTACAAGGTTACGGAGTTGAGCGTTGTAGTCGTAAACCCAAAACATTGGGTCAGCTGTTCAACGACGATTATAAAATTAAATAGAACATATCATCCGAACACATTTATTTTGTCTTATAATCGTCGATGAACCCAATTTTTGAGTTTACAACTACCAATGTTCAACTCCCTAGCCTAGTAATTTTGAATTTAATCCAGAAGATAAAGGAGCTCCTGGATCAAGCATTGGGAGAAATTTCGCCCTCGTTTAGGCCTTTGTGATGCAACTAACCCGCATTTGCGTTACAAGGAGAGAAAACCTCTCACGGTTAGACTTACGGTAAGTGGACTCTAACCATTGAGAATATTTTATGTCAGTACTGTGTCGGGTGCGGAATTCGAATAGATCAGAAATCGCTGGGATTCGAAGCCCGTTTACCTCATTGGAAGGCGAGCACTGTATCCCTTGAGCCATCAATAACATAATTTTTATCGAGATCGCTTTTTTTAGTCTACAATATAAAACATACATCAGAAGCCATAATTTTGAAGATATTGTTCAAAAGCAATTTTAAAATCATCCTGTAGAAAATGTATTTCACTAAATTAATCAGTACTTTGTAGGGGGGGTTATATTAGATCAAATATACAGGTTAGAAAACAATTAAATATGGATATTGAAAAACAAAGATCTTAGAAGCACGAAATAGAGAAAGCAAGTGTTCATTCATCATTTCAGTTTAGCAGGAACCCTCTATATAAATGCTTAACAATTCATGTAATAGTAGAAAATACTACTATTTGGCTCATTTAGTCCTTAGTTTGTGACAGCTCTCCATGCACACACATGGTATGAGGTTGTTTAAAAACCCATATAGAACACCTGGAAATCAATTTTTCTAGATGCGGCCTTCTACGGAAACAAACATTTTAATATGCTTTCCTGACACTGGCGATACTTTTAGCACCCGGCTAGTAAAATTTTATCAATAATAATTGTTAATAAATATTAGAAATATTATTAATATTAGGCATTGAAATAAAAAATATACTTACGATAAATCTATCCGATCCAAGTAAAGGAGTTTGAGCCTGTAAATAGTACATCTAGAATCTTANTATAAATATATATATACGTATATATATATATATATATACATATAAAAAAATACAAGAAAACACGAAGAAAGTTAAGTTAATATATATATATATGAATGATAGATTAAAAAGCAAAAATAACAAATAATCTCTTATACAATTATACATTTCGGTTCGGTAGTTCTTATACAAAGAAAAGGTCATCATTCAAAAAAGTTTTATGTATTTATTTAAGAAAAATTATAATTATTGTTACTATGTGTGAACTGCTAATGAGTTAATGAATAATACTTATCCTATTAATAATTAAATCATTTACAGTGATTAAAATAGAAAACACTTTTGCGGTAGTGATGCTCATTCATTTGTGCAGACGGTATTTTAAAACGCAAAATACTTATGTAGATTATTTTTTTGAGTGGAATTCACTTTAGATAAACGAGTTTTAGAAATGCTCACAAAAAAAATCCTTCTCGTTGCACAAATAATTTTGCATATGCAGAGAAATAGGCAAAATATAAAATTAACATGACGCTTTCCAAAGAAAAGAAAACTATTGGAGGGCTTTCGAATACGATGTTTATTTAGAAAAAAGTGCGTTTAGGTATCTGATTTCTTAAAATATCGTTTGCATAAATTTAAAAGGAACCATTGGAGTGTGCTAAGTAGGAATCTAATCGTTGCATCAAATGCTATTCAAATAATGTAAGCTATAAAATGTTTTACACATTAAACATAGTATAAAAAAGATGTAGAATAATTATAATATAAAATTGTTCTAAAACATAAATACTTACTTGATCATAGTCTGGGAGTAACCATCCATCTGTATTCTGGTGAAAAAAAGAGAGAGAGATTCACCACAACAAACAATTTCAATAACTCTAAATATCTGGATGCAAAACATGAAGGTTTGAAATTTTAAAGTAAACTTTGTAATTACTATGGCCCGGATTTCGATGACATTTGCATTTTTGGACATTTTTTGCCTTTTAGAGCATTTTTTAGATTTATAGGGCATTTTTCTTTAAATTTTGGGGCGTATTTTGCATTTAAAACATTTTTTAAGTTTTTTGTTAATTTTTTCCAATTTTTATCAATTTTTATTATTACACTGGCTTCTAAACAATGAAGAAAATCTCTAGGATATTAACAGGTGAAGCAACATCTTTTCAAATTGAAGAAGAATTGTCAGTAAGTGAGACCGTCTTTTTCAAGTACGCACCAATAGCACCAGTAGACGTTGAAAGAAGCTTCTCCAGGTATAAAAATTTACTTTCAGGCAAAAGACGCTCGTTTACATTTCGAAATATCAAAAAACATTTAATAATCCAATATAATTCTGTTATTTAGTAATATAATGAGATGGAAGTTGTTATATTCATTAAAGATTCTATACAAAATGAAAATGTTTTGGAGTCAATAAATTTTCCTTTTTTTTGGTTATTTTAGGATACAAAACATATTTTTCAAACTTTAATGAACGTAGAACAAGTATTGCATTGCTTTATATTTTTTGAAATGACTCATAATAATTTTAAAGAGTAAAACATTGTTTTAGTTCAATATTTTTACTTTACTTATTTCTTGTCATAAGGCATTTTTCGCATTTTTAGAGCATTTATAAGGGCATTTTTTGCACCTTTTAAGGGCATTTCTTGCACTTTTTAAGGGCATTAGTTGATATTTTTTAGGTCATCAAAATCCGGGCTCTAGTAATTACAATATAAATGCCACGGTTTTCTTCATTTTTTTAAAGAACCGCTTGAATCCTGTTAAAATAATAATACACAAATATTTGCTTCTATGAGCATAAGGTACTGCTCTAAATAATCATGAAGGCACAAATGTAATACAGTATACTTGATGATAAATGACTTCAATGGCTTCAAAAAAATATGAAAATAGCGATAAAAGTCGGCATGTTTAAAACGCTCAAAAAAGTAAAAGTCCAAAGATTATCGTCAGACGTGAATGAAAAAAAAATAGTGATTTGAAACAGAAAATGTGAAGTTGCCAAAGGAAAATGAAAATTAAATAGAAAAAATAAAACTCGAAATGACGCAGTACCGGAGAGTGAAATACAAAATTTTAAAAAAATTTTTTATAAAGATGAACTATTAAAATCGCAGTAGCCGAGAGAAACAAAGCATGCATTTCCACGCGCTACAGAGAGATGGTGAGGAACTCATGTCGTTAACAAGAGCATTCACATAAGTAAAACAAGATTCTCGGGAATCAAGACGTGCTGATGCGTGTATTGGTAAAAAATTTGACATTATCGAAATTCAATTTATCACCTAGGTTCCAAAAATATGCGACAATAGATGATTCATTGCAATTTTTTGACAGCTGACTTCTCTACTCTGTTCCTTTAGTCCAACTTGTCTTGTTTTTTTTATTTGTTTTAATATATATATCCGTCGCTGAACACCCGACCGAATTCTGGGTTAATGACTGCTAATGTTCAACTCCGTAGCCTTGTCATTTTGAACCAATCCAGAAGACAAGGAAACTCCTGTATCAGTACCCCCAAAGGTATTGCGATTCCACAGATTTAACGTGCATCAGTCACCATTTATTACAGTCCTCAGCCGGCCTGGGATCGAGCCCACGAACTCTTGGACATGGGTCCAGTGCCCTACCAGCCACACTTTCCTGGCCCAACTTGTCTTGTTTGCCCGCTGTTGCAAGTTATTCACTCTCGAAACAACCACAGTTTTTCTAGCTTTCTTTTTTTTCCTCGTATTTGCCATTTTTCGAAGACAATCATGAACATTTTGTTTTAAATCACTGTTGTTTTTCTCATTTACGCGTGGCGAGTCTTGAGCCAATTTTTTTGCCACTCTAAATATTTGATTCAAATATTGCCATTCTCAAGGCTCACCAGAGGTAAATGACTCGGAAAGAGAATTTTCGAGCTTATAAAACATGAAATTTTTATCTTTGAATTTATTGAATATATATATATATAGTGTGAACTGCTAATGAGTTAATGAATAATACTTATCCTATTAATAATTAAATCATTTACAGTGATTAAAATAGAAAACACTTTTGCGGTAGTGATGCTCATTCATTTGTGCAGACGGTATTTTAAAACGCAAAATACTTATGTAGATTATTTTTTTGAGTGGAATTCACTTTAGATAAACGAGTTNTTTCAATTTTTTGAATATATATATATATATATATATATATATATAACTTAAATAATAACTAGAGAGATAAATAAACTAATTAATAATCAGCATGTTTGATGTAAACTCCAGCAATCTAAAGATTGTTGGGGTTTACATCAAACTGACACTTAGCGAAACTGGCACTTAGTGAAAATACAATCGTTAGATTTCTTAGAACAAAGAGATTCATGGTAATATCTTTTTTTAATCTTTAATATGATTGTTTCATTTATTTATTACTATTTTTTTACACTGTTATTTTCAGCACCACCTTTATCTGCAAGCAAAAATCGTATAAAAATAAACTACAAAATTTAAAAACTTTTTTTCCTTCCAAATATATAGAGAAAAAAACCCTCTGTGTTGAATAAAATATGAGTTTTTCTCAGAATCTAATCCCGAAAATAATTAGCAATCATTTTACGTATTTTAGTTTTACAATAAATATTTACGTCAATGCATTAAAAGTTAAATTAAGAATAATATTTATAAAATTTAATTTCTGTAACAAGTGTTTTCAGAAAAAAAGATCTAATGGAAATTTTTCTAAAAAAACAAGGTTTAGTTCATAGTATATATTTTAAGAGAAATAAATAAAGGGCTGTAAAATATTTAGCTCCTAAAAATGGTTGGACACTATAGTTTAATTATGTGACAAATTCGGTGCAGCAAATGGGAAAAGCTGTCTGCAACATCATCATTGGAGGAAGCAAACTAGAATTAATCTCAACACAGAAGTAATTAGATTTCCAGAAATGTTTCGAATGTTCCATTTCCTCTGCACAGTAATTCTTCTCATAGAATAAATAATCGACCTCCCATGCAATGAGTTCTGAAAATGCAACCGAAATCAAATGCGACAAACATAAAAAGAAAAAAAAAACAATTCAATTTCCTTCCGTACAATAGCACATTTTTTTTCCGCAGAAAAATAGTTTGGGAAAAATTCTAACTTTTAAGGTCCTAATAGAATTGGACCAGACGATTCATCAAAGTGTTTTAAATCTAGCGCAATTAATTCACTCGCATGATTCAAATTCGAATAAGTTGATTGGAATCAGCCGGTTCTAGCAATCAAAAAAATGGAAGCAATCAAAATCTTGCTAACCGCGTTCGTTCCAAACAACTGAATTAATTTTTTAATGATTGTATAAAAATGGTAAAAAAAAAGCTACTGAACACTATTGTTTTTCTGTTTTCCTTTACAAAACTAATATATAAAGATAGAAAGTTGCCTTTTGTGATATTTTTTCCGTCGGAATTTTTTTATTTTTTAGACCTGTAAGAATCTATCTTGAATGCTTTGAAAAAAAAAAAGGCATTAAGAATTCGAATAGAATTTTCAATTGCACGGTGGTCGAAATACTGCAATATAACGCTACTTTATTTCGTAGTTTGCTACATTTGTAAAAAATAATAAATAAATAGGAATAAATAATCAACTAGTTTGTAAAATTTCCTTGCAACTACTTTTTAATGTTAAGATTTAAACAATTTTTTTCGAGTCTTGTTTTGCTCTCTCTCTTGATTGGTAGTACTTCTGTAGTCTATAAATTATAATATATATAAACTGTATAAACTGTCTTTTCGGTACAATAGCAGCATTCATTTTAAACAAATCCATATTGAATCCGGCAGAGTTTCAATTATTTTCAGTAAATAGCAGTGATTCGAATCATTTGAATCTACCGATTGGATTCCCTGATTAAAATCAGAAATGAATCATCGAGTGAATGATTCGACAGCTCAAATAATTCATTCATAATCCCTGTTTAGTTAAAACAGTCAGTTTTGAATAAAAATGAGAAGACATTTTTTACAAATACTACTTAAGATTTGCTTCCACATTTTCCCCACTCAATCATGGCATTTTCTGTAATAAAACAATTGAATCTGTTCCAAAGATGATTCTAAGTCAAATAAGGTAATCATTTTAATTGATTTTTTGAAATGGTTTTTACAATTTTTTTTCTTTTTGAGACAGTTAAAGTTACTTCCCGCAATTGAATTTTTGAACTTGTCATGTTAAAAACAATCATTTTTAAGAGACATATTCTAAAAATTGACACTATATTCTAAAATTAAATGCACACTTTTAATTATTTAATTTCAAAAATTTCGTATTAGATTTCTTTTAAAAACGCACACACACACACACACACACACACACACACACACACACAAAACAAAGTATCTCAATTACATTGATAAAAATGAGTAATATGTAAGATCTTTCATGAATTTTATCTATAATGTCAATAATATGCATGCATGCACAAAGATTCAGGTTTGTTGACACAATCTTCTTAGAAGAGAAAAAAAAAAAACCCTGATCTTTTTGTGTAAAGTCTTACAGTTTTAAAGGGAAAAAAAATCGCCTAAATGAACAACTAGTCATGCTAACAAGTGACACAAAGTTTTTGAAAAACCCAAAAGAAAAAGAAAAAAACTAATGTTGCTAGAATGAAAATGAAAATCGTTTGTAGAATCTATACTTTGTACTAACATGAGAATCGAAATGTGGGGGTCGAAACGAGGGAGAAATGACCCCCAAAACACAAACAAAATTTTAAAAAGGAGGGAACAAAAAAAGGTGGGAATCGTATCTTACTTTTCCAATCAAAAGACGAATCCGAATTCGAGCAAAAAATTTCATCTTCAGTTCAATGCTTCCATCTTCTACGTTCGAAGGAACGGGGATAGTTTGAGAGCAGAATTGAATCTGAAGAGCAAAAGAATCCTCCCCCTCCCCCAATGGCGCATGCGTAAACAGCACAGGGGAGATGCCGTTTACGGACTAATCGAAACTAACTTACATATTATGTTGTTTTTTTCTTGGGAGAGAGGGGGGGTGTCTTTATTTTTGAATGTAGACTATCTGATACTTCAAATTCGACACTTTTTGTGAAAGAAATAAAAGAAGAAAAGATGTTCGTCGGAAATCCGTACAATTTGTCCTTCAACTCAGATTTTTGACCCCCTAGACCAGCGGTCGTGTTCCTTGTAATGATCACAAGCGTTTTAAGTCGGTATGAATTACAGTAAGAGACCCTTTCAGTTTTTTACTTTAAAAAAAAAATTCTATAGAAATACTAAGAGGATTATTTTGTAACTTTGAGGTTCAGAGTATGTGATTTCTCATACTTAGCCAATATGATTTAAAGCTTTCAGAGGTTTATAAGACCTACAATTCATTACGAAAGAAAACGTGTATTTTTGAGCACCCAGTGAATAAAGGAAATTTTTGTTAAAACTTGAATCGACTACTTGAGTTGCTATTTTTTAAAACTGCATAAAGTTTCGTAAACTCAGAGTAAATATTTATGAAGATATGGACAATTTTATAAAAAAAAAATTATTTTTTTAAAATTACATTTCCCCCCCCTTTTTTTTTTGCTATTTAGTTAAAAGTTACTTTGCTCTAAATTTTTCTATATTCAATGAAATTAAAAAAAAAAATTGGTGAAATTTAAAATTAATTATAATATTGGTTACCTAAAATCGGAAAAAAAAAATCGTTAAAAACTGCTCAAGATATAAGTATTTTAGCTAGATTCTTTTTACAGCGCATGAGCAGAATTTTTTTTAATTTTTTTCATAATTTTGTAGGGAATCGTACTTGGTAACTAATGATAAAAGCTTTATTTAAATATCTCAAAAATTTTTAAGCAATTTTCTAAGTAGTTTTTGTACTTTTTAAAAGAAAGCTCGAAACGATAAGAGATTATCCATAAATTTCATCTTGTACTAGTAAACAAGAATGAAACCGGCATTGTGTGAGATCAGCCTCCATAAAAGTATGTTACCTCCATAAAACTATGTAAAAGTTTGTATTTCAGACGATTATTATAAAGTATTATTTTTTCTTACTAAATTTTGTGTTTTGATACAAATAAAATTTGTGACAACCCCTCTTAGTTTCGAGGTTTTTCTTTAAAAAAAATAAAAAAGCTATTTAAAAAATTTATTGAAATTTTTTCAATTTTTGAGATATTTAAATCAAACTTTTTCCTGAGTTGTCAATTACGATTCCCTACAATATTATGAAAAAAACTTTTTAAAATTTTTACTGCGCATGAGCAGTAAAAAAAAACTATCTTAAATACTTGTACTTTGCGCAGTTTTTTACAAATTATTTTTTTAAAATTTTAAATGAATAATTTTGTACTAAATTTCAAATTTTTCCGAAAATTTCGTTTCATTTCGTTGAATATTTATAAAGTTATATTAAAAAAAACGTAATACAAACAATTATTTTTTCTTTATGAAAATGGCCATCTCGCCAAAAATATTTACACAAGGTTTACGAAATTTAAATTAGTTATTAAATATAATAACTAAAGTAATCGACGCAAGTTGCAAGCTTAAAAAAACAAACTTTACAAAAGTATAAAAACTACTGAGAAAATTGCTGAACATTCTTTAAATTAATATAATTAAAATAAAAATTTTCATTCATTACCATGTACGATTCACTACAAAATTATAAAAAAACATTTCAAAATTCTTTTCAGTGCATGAGCTGTATAAAAGAACAAGCTTAAATATGCATAACTTGCGAAGTTTTTAAAAAATTTTCTTTTTAAATTTTAGAACTTCAATTTTGTAATTAATTCTAAATTGCTCCAAAAATTTTGTTTCATACCATTGAATATGTATAAAGTTACTAAGGAAAAACGTAATGAGAAAAAATAATATTTCCTAAAAATGTCCATATCTTTATAAATATTTACTCTCGGTCTAGGAGACTTTATGCAGTTATTAAAAATAAAAAATAAAAAAATCGATACAAGTTCCAAACTTATTGCTTGATTTATCTAGCACAAGGGTGTTCAAAACTGCGCGTTTTCTTTCGTAATTTATTGCAGGTCCCTTGAACCTCTGAAAACTTTAAATTTTATTGCTAAGTATTACTACTGAACAAGTTACAAAATAATTCTCTGAGTATTTTTTGAGAAATTTAAAAAATTGCCAATAAATAAAAGCGTCTCTTCCGTTATTGTAGGGTAGTGCAATATATATATATATATATATTGTACTACCCTACAATAACGGAGGAGACGCTTTTATTTATTGGCAATTTTTTAAATTTCGACGCACCAAAAAATCGACGCACCAAGAAGCAATCATCCGATTGCTTTGAAATTTCGTATGCATGAATGTTTTGAACAGATATGGCTGGAATGATGCCGACTGGGGACGTATAGTCTTTAGCGACGAATCCCGCTTCCAACTGTGTCCTGACGATCATCGAAGACGTGTTTGGAGACGCACAGGGCAGAGGGGG